ATACCGATGCCTGGTACTACCACAGGAGAAGATATATTTACTTGTGTTTTTGGACTTCTGCAGAAATACAATCTACCTTTGGCAAAATTAAATTCTGTAGCTACAGATGGCGCTCCATCAATGACCGGGAAAAACAAGGGCTTCGTAGCATTACTAAGAAAAAAACTTAGTGAAATTCACGGTTCAAACATTCATCATATGCATTGTATTATACATCAAGAAGTTCTATGCACGAAAGTAATAAATATGGAGAATGTTTTGTCATATATAAAAAAGTTATAAATTTTATAAGATCTCGAGGTTTAAATCAGCGTCAATTCACTGCTTTCTTAAGTGAGTTAGATAGTGAATATTCGGGTTTGTCCTACTATACCGAGGTACGTTGGTTATCTTGCTCCAAGATTCTCAAACAATTCTGGGATTTGAAAGAAGAAAATATGTCAGTTTTTTAAAAACGAAAAATCAAGACGTAAGTTTGTTTTACGATCCAATATGGATACAAGATTTATCTTTCTTGGTTGATATAACCAAACACTTAACCGATTTAAATTTATCGTTACAAGGAAAAGATCATATCATTACGAACATGTTTGACATAATTAAAGCATTCAAATGTCAACTAGTTCTTTGGGAAAAACAACTTAAAAATGAAGATTTGACGCACTTCCCGACGTGCAGCATGAACAAATCAAGTTTAGATGATACTTGTTCGTATCAAAAATACGCAGAAAAAATTGCAAATTTAACAGAATTTGAAACGAGGTTTAATGATTTTAGTTCCCTCGAAGACAATTTTTTTTTTTTTTTGTTTTCTTCGATTTTCTCAATAAAGTATTGACTCAATACCCAGCCATATGCAAATGGAGGTGATCGAGATTCAATGCAACTCAAATTTGAAAGCAAAATTCATTGAAGTGGGCGTGCCTGAATTTTACAAATATTTACCAGCCAGGTTTGAAAATACTCGAAAATTCGCATATGAAATTATTTCCATGTTTGGTAGCACTTATCGGTGCGAGCAGTTATTTTCAGTCATGAAAGGTAATAAGTCTCCTATTAGAAACCGTATTAATGATGCTCACCTTGGGTCAGCGTTGAAAGTTATCACTGCAAACAAAATTTCTCCCGAAATAGGAAAGATAATAGCAGAGAAGAGATGTCAAGTATCAGGACGTAAACATTAAATTTTTTCTTGTTCTTTTCTATATAAATATATATATATGTTTATTATTGTATTATTCGAAATAAATCTATGTTTCTATGAATATTGATTTTTTTTTTTTTTGCGGCCCGCCTAAAGTTAAACCTTGTTTGTTTGGCCCAAGTGTACTTATGAGTTTGACAGCCCTGCTCTAGACCATTCATACAGCCATACGAAACTCAAAAAAATCCTTGTTTGGAATGCTGTTCAACTTGCATATCACTGTGGCTTAAATTTCAGATATGTCAGGATATCATTGAACTTTCATGTGAAGTTTTATTTTCAAAAGTTAAAAAAATTCACCTGGTGCCCAATGGATGAATGTGGAGGGTGGTTTGAGAACCGGAAACTTTTTTTAAAATTTTGTTTGTTATAAACTACTACAAAACTAACCACGTGAGGAAATGTAGCAAGAAAAAATCCTTCTACTTCCATTGTTCTGTGAATCCTCATGCACAATTAATCCATGACGCTGTGCATTCGCAGTTTTATCCCATTTATGATTTTATACAAGGAAAAAAATCTCTCTTAAAACTTTTTGTACAGATGGTATATATTGTCCTAACTCTTAGATTCATATTTAGGAAACTTTGTGCTACTGTCAAACTATAGTACAGTCAAAAGTCTTTAATCTGGAATGATCTATAACCCGGACCTCAAAGCTACAATCTTTCTGCGCATGCGTAAATGCATGTGCATGATATGTTTACGCTTTCGCGTTTAATGTATAACGGACAGTATAAGCTAAGCTAAAATTATCTAATTATCTATTTCAGTTAATGTTGCAGAGTGGTGTTCTTAATTTCCAATTGGACCGCTTATTTTTTGCAGACTGTCGAGCAATTTTATAAAAGTAAGCTTGACTTTCTATTATGTCGAAAAGAATTTCTGATTCTGCAGCTGCCAAAGGATCTACAAGCGAAAGCTGTTTGATGTCCATAACAAAACTAGAATTGCTGCAAAAAATGGATAAAGGCATTCCTTTGTTTCTCTAACCATTCCGAAATCTGTTTATCAATTTCACGCTGCTCTGCAAGGGGGAGACGTCGATGGAAGTTGATCTGTCAGCACTATCCTTATCTTCAGGGCAGATGTTTTTTTTTTATTTGGCTTATAATTTCTTACTAAATGTAGTATTTCATCTCGATGTACTCTGTCTTTGATATGATTTAAAACAAGTTCCTGGTCATTATAATTCGCTTCCCATAGTGAAGAAAGTGACAGAGGTTATTGAAAACGAAAAAATTTTCGATTGACACATTAGTCGGTATTCTGGAACACAGCAATTATAGGACTTGAACAGCGGAACTTGTAATTAAACAAGAAATTATGTTTTTTAATAGAATTAAAGAGAAAGATTATCACATGAAACGGAGCAACTGAACACTTACCTTGAAGGAAATGTTTAATAAGTAAACAAATAAATATTAAGCTTTTCTTTTGTAAATTTTTGATACCCTTTAGATCAGATTGTTCTTTTATTCATAAATTACGGTTTCATATTTTTAATTTGTAATTTCTGCATGCCATCTTACCAGATTAAACTGATGATCTATAATTCAGAATCGCCGAAGTCCCGACGAGTCCGGATTAACTTCTTTTGACTGTATACGAGAAACCTTTTGCAATCTAAGAAGTTGGTACAAAAGAAAGAAGTGTATGTAAAGTAGTTAAAAAAAAAAAAAAAAAAAAAAAAAAAACTTTCTTTAATTTGGGGGGGGGGCAAGGACTCAAAATGAAACTCTTCAAATTAGTATAGGAAGATGTGCAAATCAGCTGATCTGCTTTGTAATTCAAAATGCCATAACAGTCAACCTTGTCACAGGCAGTGAGAAGTAGTATAAGGTAGTAGTATTAGAGAAAAACATACTACATTTTTCTTATTTTTTAAATTTCATAAATTTTTCTGAGCTGTCAGTTTAATTTTTTTTAACTGTTGCTACAATTATTAAAAAAATATGGAAATATTTTGAGTAATTATCGAGAGAATTATGCATTAGTTCAGCTTTTTCACATGGGATCCCCAAAAAATATTGCATTTTTTTTATTTTTATTTTTTGTAACTCTTTGAAAAATAATTGTGAGACAGTTCAATTGACATAATCTTAAATCATACTTTATTTTGATCGCTTTTACAATTTATATTATTAATTAAAAAATTAAAGTGTGTTTTAACCTTGTTTGGACACACTGTATACAGTTTACCTGTGAATGGAAAATCCTGTTATAAGTAATCTCTCATTTCCGGCTTTTGCCGGAAGGCATTGGTAACACCTAAGTTTTACACAAGGGCCCTCTTAAAAGCCCAAAATGGAATCAAAACATACTTCTGACTTTTACCAAGCCATTTTGGTAAAAGCTAGGTTTTACCAGACTTCGGGCTTTTACGGTAACAGATATTATGGTGAAAAACTAATGGAGGAAATTATTTTCTGAACACATTTCTTATGTTGCATACATTATTTTAGTGTTGAAATATACATCATTTTATGAATTTTTATCTTTAAAAAAAATTATATTTAGAAATATAATTAAATTTTTATGCTTGTTAAAAAATTAAATTTCTTCTCTTCCCCTGTAAACAAATTGTTTAAAATGTAGTAGGAAAATTTCAGATTATTTTGGTACTATTTTTTAAAATGTCTTTTTAAGGTACATTTTTATGCTATGCTTTAAAAGAATATTATTTTGAAACAAATTGTATTGCACTATCTAAAGTTCATTTTTAGTTTCATTGAATATTTCAATATGTATAGTAGCTTTTGCCAATTTTATATAGAAACCCCTGATTTTCCATATCTCCTTCTAGTAAGTCACAGAAATCTCTCTCTTTTTAATTTTTAGCCTTTATTAAGGAAGACGTTTTCAGCAATAATTTGTTGAATTAATGAAACTTAAATTGTGGAAACTTCATTTCTAACCCTTGAGTAGTTTTTACCATAATTTTTCTTGTTAAATTTTATTTGGCCTGACTTGTCTTAAATTTATTGTAGACATTTGTAGAATTTTTTATGAAGTTTCAACCAATGTTAAATCAATAAATATTCATTATTTAAATTTGCTTTATGTCTAAGTTTATCTATGCAGTTATATGTTTGTACATTAGTCATTAATTTTATTTTTATTGTATATTTTGATAAATAGAAGCTTCATTTTTTTCTCAGAATGAAAATGTAAGAAAATTTCAAAATAAAAGTAACCAAAGGACATAAAATTTAGATTTTGTATGTAATATATTTTACATCAGTATCGTATTATAAATAGTTCTATAACCTGAATCGTGCAGTATAAAGTAAATTTAAATCACTTGAATTTAAGTTCTTTCGATATGGTACAGAACAGCCTTTTGAATCTGCTTATAAAGACCGGTATTTAAACAGCATTTATTAGGTAAATTTGTGTATTTACTTATTTTAGTCTCTTCTTTCATAAACTTCAATTCATTTAAGATGATACTTACATCGTTAAAGAAAATAAGAAAGCAACACATTTTAAATTATAAGCTATTGTATACCAAGTGACAAATAATATCATGACTGAATGCCACTCAGAGAATAAAACTTCCTGGAAACTTTCAGTTTTTCTTCAGTAGTCTTTCATATTAAAGTATAATTAAGTATGCCGCACCTATTATTTGTTCTGCTAGAATTTTATTCTGAAAATGAGATTTGAATTCTGTTCAGGGGTAATGACTGCCATGTGAGAAGAATTTATTAAACAAGTGTGTAATTTTTATTTATATTGGTATTTATAAAAATAAATTTTCTGAATTATTAACGATTATTATGCTTTTTAATAGGTTCCTGGAGTTACAGACTGTATTTCAGAAATAGAAAAAAATATGTTATTGAGTCGCCAAGAATGTTTAGGTATGGATCGTCATGGACGAAAATATTGGTTCCTATGTAGGAGACTAGTAGCGTAAGTATGACTTTGTATTTATTTATTTTTTTGGAAGTTATATTTCTTAATAGCAAAAGGGGAAAAATATTTTAATATAAATATTTTGTACTTGTTTATGTTTTGTAAATTCACTTTCTGATTGTTTAATAATATGCCATCTTTTGACTGCTGTAATACTGGATTAGTTGCTGTATGCAAATAGAAGGAACTTAAAATCAAGATCTATGTCTAAAATATTGGGTCATTTATAATGTTAAGCAGAAAAATGTGATTGCTGTGAGCAGAGGAAATGAATTTCTTCTGTTGTATCATTCATAGCTGTGTTTCTTTTATCAAACAATCACGGCTTTGGAAAATGCACTTCCTTGCCAGTCACTGCATAAACCCCTGGCAACATTTGAAATTTATACATTATAAATTGGACAGGGTTCGTAGCGGCCCTTACAAGTGCTTATAAGTCCTTATATTTGAAAATAAAATATAAAGGCCCTTATAAGTGCTTACTTTCTTTAAAGCCTTATTTTTTGTTTTAGTGCTTATTTTTTGCTTTAGTGCTTTTTAATGAAGCGCATCCCCCCCCGGTACCAAAGCGAACAAAACAACTTTTCTCCTTATATGGACGTCCCGGAAGGGGAAATAGCTTTTCCCCTCTGCATAACGTAACTATGGTAACCTATGAACCTAGGTGCACAGAGAGTAGAAGGTGCACGTCGTCTATGGTCAGAGAATGCGAAACCGTAAAAATTCGGTACATTCGTTTCTTTCCTCCCACACAAATACTAACCGTTGAATTCTATCAGATTTATAATTTACATTCTGTACGGTGGCAGTCATATTTGTGTTATTATGAGCGTTATGCTTTTTATGAGCCAGTGTGACATTATAACAATATTTGAAGGAGCTGCTGTATACCAAAAATTTTATTTTGACACAGATGAAGCTTTCTCTCAAATTTAAATCGAATTTAAAATAATAATTTCTTCTCTTTTTTTCCAATACATATATAGTAGGGAGGTAAGACGTTCTCCCTTTCTCTGCAAAATCTCAATATTGAAGCAGCGTGTCAACCCAGTAGTAAGTCTCTTTCTTTTCTTATTTAGTTTTTATTATCCGAAAACCGGCAGCTGTTGATTCCGTGCGTTATCATATGGAAGAATTACGCTGCCGATGCCAATAACGTTTATATTTGCAGAGATAATTAATTTGATGTCAGTCGAGATTTATTTATGAACACTTAAAAGAGTTTTATGTTCTTTTAAGCAGAAGATTCAGTTCCGTGGTCTAGTTTACATGATGCACATATCGAAATGTCAAATCATTTATTTAGCCGAGAAATCAAAAGCCTACAATCTCTCCCCCACTCTCATTTCCAGTGCGTCGACTATAGGAATATCGGCAGTTTCGAGTATGTGGTTAGTTAAGCTTTTTTTAAAGAAGACTGAATGAAGAAATTAAGTCTCTGATTCAAAAGGTTCCCCCACTTTTTTAAATTACTTTGCTTGGAAATATGTTAAGGGAAAACGTTATGCAATGAAAATTTAGAAATGTTCAGAATTTGATTTAAGTAATATTTAAATATTAATATGCGTGGAAAAAATAAATTGTATTTCTATTAGGTCCAAGCGACACAATTCTATGCTTATTATTATTTATTTTCTATAGTTTGAATTGAAATTTCATCATTAAATCGTAATTAGTTTAGTTCTGCATAATTTTTTTTCTCTCAATTAAACGAATTGTAAATTGAATGTCATTTAATTAAAAAAAAGTAATGTTCCCAGGTGAGGTAATGATCATTCTCTAATAATATGCATGCTCATATTTTAAATTGCAAATCTAATTTTCTTTAAGGGTAGCAGTTGTGTATAATGTAATTAGACAGGTGTTTATTTTTTTTCTTAAAATGTGCTTGAAAAGTGCTTATAGGTGCTTATTTTTTTAACTAAAATGTGGCTGTGAACCCTGTTGGAAGATTAAAAACCCGTTTCCATTACTGTGGTGCAGACGCTTTTCTCCAATCAGTGAACGAACTGACTTTGATTGACATCTGTGATGCTTTGACGGATGACGGACCACAGAGTTGAACTATGTTCAACTTCTGTCCGTATGTCTGTGGAAGTGTAGGGGTTATGTGGTAAAAAAGGAACAGTCATGTGCTGTCATAAAAAAGGGGGGTTGACAGAAGTAGCAATCTGCTGAACTTATTTTAAAAAAAAGAAAAAATAGATAACTGCAATTACATTACTAGTTTGTATGGAGCAGTGATAATTGTCAAGAAAATCAGGTATAAAAAATATAATTCAAGTCCATGAAATAGCCTGTAGAGACATTAGGTAAATTGGAAAAGCCGGAGAGATGAAAAATTAGCAATCGCCTTCGCTGGGAATCGAACCACAGACCTCTGGAATACGAGCCCAGTCTGCAGAATCACTACACCACAAAGGGACGCTAGGAAAGCGGGGAAAATATCTTATATACTTTCCCTTTTTAAAGGGCAACTAGGGTTTTAGGGGACCTAGTCGCCAAATCATGGGTGTGGAGAATCATCATCCACAACCCTTTTAATTCAGGCACCACTGTAGAGACATTAGGTAAATTGGAAAAAATCAGAAGGATAAAAAATTAGCAATCGCCTTCGCTGGGAATCGAACCACGAACCTCTGGAATACCAGCCTAGTGTGCAGAATCACTACACCACAAAGGCAGGCTAGGAAAGCGGGAGAAATACCTTATAAACCAAATTTGTCCTGATAATTATTTCCCAGTCCTAGAAGTATACACGTTTACTTTTGATGAAAATGAACATCTGACTGTATCAAACTGCTATAGCAAATCAGATAAGGTTTAGAAGTTTTTTTTTTTATTTGAAACAGGTAAAATACTGATAACGGAATTTATAAATTAAAATTTTTAACCCTTTAAATATTCTACTGCAGTAAAAAGTATATTAAATTTGTATTACTCTATTTATAAAATTGTTTTTTTGGTTAAGGTATATTTGTAAGTACATCTATCATTTAGAATATATTTTGAACAGTCCGTCAATCAAAATGCAACTTTAAAATTATTATTGTTTTATAAGAAATGCCCTAGAACATCAATTTTCTAGCTGTGGGGGCCTTGATAATCCTACGTGGGGGGGTGGGTTGCGAGCATATTGAGAAGGTGAAAGTAAAAGATTATCTAAAAAAATCATTAATTTCTGAAAGGAAGCAAAACAAAATCCATTCTGACATATTAAAAAATAAAATACATATTTAGACTGATACAATGTACTTGATAATTAATTTATCAATACTAAATTAAGAACAAGTTTAATAAATTACTAGTGACTCCCATGGTCTTGTCTTGCAGTGTAAAGTTATTCAAAGAAAGGTTTAATATTAGAAATTGACACTCTAAGTTCTTTTTCTATGTTTAACTGTGATCTATATTTATTCTTCAGAGCAGCCACCGCAGAAAATCCAGTTTCAGAAAGGTAGGATTTTGGAAATGGTAATAGTATACGAAATCCTTTTTTTTTTTTTCAGTGCAAAAAATTCATCATCCACCCCTGCCCAAGTTTCAAAGATTTATTAATAAACTGCCTTTTAATTTTGCCACTTGACGTGAAATCTATGAAGATTTTCTTCTTCGGCAGGTGAGAGCTCTTCTGGAGTATTTTGAAATGGATCTGTTGTAACCCACTTGTATCTTGCTTTCAATTTGTCTTCAGCAAGAAAATGCTTTTTAAAATTCTTTGCCAGCATGGCTAAATGATTTTCAATGGTTTCGAAAACAACTTTCACAGTAGCTCAATTTCATCACAAATAAACCATCTCGAAACTTCTTAGCTTCACGTCAGATTTCCTCTTCTAGAAAAGTGGCCATTTCATCTCCTGATTCATAAACACATTGAAAAAATTTCCCATG